GCGCTTCCTGAATTTTGGCCCCAATGCGGCGCCGTTTCCTCTGGAGCAAGCAACCCGCACCCCATCGAACGAGATTGAAACCGCCAAACGTCCTCCCCGACGTTTTATGGACGTCCGTCCTCGCGTTGAACGAGTCCGCAGATGCGTTCCCTCCCCTTAAAAGCGTCGTCGGTGGGGTGGTCGCCATCTGGCAAGTGGCTGAGGTCAGTCTTTCATTCGGGCTTCATCACAAGAATCAAGTGTATCTGATAACCCAATTTATCATACTGTAGCGCACTCGGCACTGCAAGTCGGACGCGCGCGCTATAGCCCTACGGGTGAAGGATATTATCGACGTGGTTGCCGATGCGGTCCCCGATGGATCGGAAATCTCCCCGCCGATGCTGGACAGTATCTTCCGCTTCTCGCTGTAAGACCGACTCATGATCCCGTTCATGTTTCATTCAGTAAATAAACACTCATATGCGGCGCTTTTTTCGCAGTCTTCTAGACGACATTCTACGTGCTATGGAGGGCGTATCTCGTGCCAGCCCCATTTCTGGCTTCGTGCATCTAAATCGCAATGAAGGGCTGCTCGAGCGCTTCAAAACCAAGCTTGACGACGCGTATCGTGACTTCCTGGTTTGTTCTCCACGCCGCAGGTATGAGATTGTGTTACTTAGCCTTGATGCCATGGCTAGACTGCGTCCACTCTCCGCCTCGAAATTCAGCAAACACAGCTCGCGAAACAGCAGAAACAGCTCGCGATCCAGCAGAACCGGTTCGCCGCTCAGCAAGCTGAATCACATCTCCAGCTTGAAACCGTTCACTCCGTAACCGTACGTGTCTAATATCTATTATCATATACAAACTTGAATACCGTGGCTCATATATATATACCTGCAGACCCGCGTCTTGTTCAAACTCGATTCATGATGTTTTTGTGGCCGTCCCCTGATGCTTCCATACAAGTCAACGCTCTGATACCCAATCCGCTCGCGAGGCAGCGAGCCAGGGGACACACTCGGCCTACTTACTCTACCTTCTTTTCCCTTCGACTGTGTTTGGTGGCATGAACGGACGTGGGGCTTCGGCGGTTGGTGCTGATATTTGCTATTGATGCGCCGATCGCACGAGCCACACGACCGTGGTGTTGCCAAACACAGTCGAAGGGATATGATCGTCGGAACTTGAGGATAAGACAATCTCGATAGACATTGGTTTTGGTCGTACTTGAATATATCGATTTTCGTCGTCGCGGTCGCCAGCGAGGTGATCCTTTGATCCGAATCAAGCCAAAGTCAAGACTTGTTATCAGACCCACGTGCCGTAGGACTTGCTACTTACCACCATGTCGAACGCTCAAGTAACCGTAATGTCTACACCTGAGCTCCTTGAGCATACCCTCGCACACCTCCCCATGCGCGATCTACTGGTCACTGCGCCCCTCGTCAGCAAAACGTGGCAGGCCATCACCCTCACCCCGACCCTGCAGCGGCTCCTTTTTTTCCAGCCCGACACCAGGTTGTCCTCTCGGGTCGAGAATCCTCTTCTCGTGGACCTATTTCCTCCCTTCTTCGCCTCCAGCGGCCCGCACCGCTGGTCCTGGCCCAATTCCAAATCCCTCGAATCGATGCCGTGGGCGAGAGCACCGGACGCGTTCAAGCGCCCCGAAGCCAGCTGGCGACGCATGCTCGTCACGCAGCCGCCCGCACCGCGGCTGGTTGTCACAGAGCGCTGCTACGGCCAAGGCGGCATTGCTACGCGTCGTGCGGTGTTGGACGACCCCTGCCTCCGCATGGGCGTCCTTTATGACCTCGTCCTGCCGTTTATCGACCGTGTTGCATCGTGGTTTTGCATTCGGTGGCATCAGGACTATGATTACGATGGCGCGGACCCAGGTTGCCGAGACGAAATTGTCCTCGCCATCGCGTTTACACAACAGTGTTCTCCGAGTTTGCGCACCGTGATTGATGGACGGTTTTACAGCGATGCGGCGGAGGCTCTAGGGCTCAAATTTGAAAGGGTTTAGTACATACCTCGGGGATAACGCGATGACGGTCGTGGTAGGTTTTACTTCGAAACTGCGCCATGCTTGCTAATCCTAGCTCGCCTTCTACAGGATGGGAGATCTATTATCCTAGGACAAGAATTGAGTAGGTTATTTCGTTGGTTGAAATGGCGTCGTGAAGATGGGATTTGAATTACTTCCAGGATTCGAATGAACTATGCTGCTATGTATCACGAACAAAAAGGGAAATAACCCTCGAGTACTGGAACGCCTGCGGAGGGACTCGAACCCCCACCACTCGAACACATCTCAAACGGAACTTTCATGTAATGGTATCGAACGACCGCCTCGGTCCACACAGGCTTCGCATAAGTACTACTCCACGTCAAGATCCCTCAGGTTTGCCTTCGAATAATGCCACAAAATACAAAAAGAATCCATATGCGTAGCGGTAACCGAGTCATCCGAATCACCGATTGAAATGGAAGGTCGATACCAGAACGTTGGAATTTGAACATTTCGGAGATTAGAACGAACTTACTAAGTATGCCATTTATCTACAAGCATGCGGCTCAACGGCTCAACGACTCAACGACGTCGGCGGTGCACAAAAAAAAAAAAGCATTGCGGTAGGCCAATGCCTGCGGAGGGAATCGAACCCTCACCAATCGATTGAACACAACCATCCCTGTTCTTGAACGATATCGAGCGTCCACACAGGCTTTCCCTTCCTTTACCTACCCCGCGTCTGATTCTACTTATGTTCGGTTAGCTGTAATGCGCGACAAAATGGTACGGTTCGCCAAAGAGGTTGAACTTTCCAGATCGCGTGAAACCCCATATTCCGGGGTGTGAGTAAAGGGGGAGGAGTTTCTTCTACCAGGACGCCATCTCACGCACGCAATCAAGTTATAGAATTCGAATGAATCCTGCTGCTTTTTAGCACGAACAAAAAAGAAATATGGATGAGCCTTGAACACACCTGCGGAGGGACTCGAACCCCCACCACTCGACCGAAGGTACGACTACAATCTTCGAACGATATCAAACGACCGCCTCGGTCTACGCAGGCTTGCCCTTCCTTTCCCTCCACGTCCGATAACGTTCGGCGAGCTGTAATGCGCGCAAAACGGTACGTTCAGAGATGAAAGCGGTTGAAAAGGCCTGAACTTTCCAAATCGCGCCGTGAAAACAGATATTCCATGTCCAAACGGCGGGAGGAGTTTTCTTCTTATCAGGACGGCATTTCGCAATCACGTACGTATGCGGCGTCTAACTTGAAGGCAGCATTTTTAAACCAGGAACCACCAGGAACGGTGTCAAGTTCAAGTCAAGTTGTCAACGCAGAGGCAGTGCAAGTCCGGACCGTCACACCGGATGGACCTTCTTATCTTCTGACCACCACCTCGTCGAAGCCGACTTGTATATTGTACCCCGTACCCGCTGAAAGCACGAATAATGACTGACCGTTCTACTTCGCATAGCCGCGAGCCCGTGGTGCGCCTCGACTGCGTATCCATCCCGCCATCGCTGACCGATTGTCCTTGTTCCGATAGACCTCCACCGGGCGCGGCGGCATCGGCAACATGCGCCCCGCCTCCACCTCGCGAGACCGCCAACCCGACGACCTCTCCACCCGCGGCCGCGAGCCCGCCGTCGCGATCTCCGAGATCCGCTCCACCGGCCGCGGCGGCGCAGGCAACTTCCGCTCCCCGTCGCGCGACCCCGCCGACAACCGCGACGTGCGCGCGCCGGGGGAACGCGAGGCCATCCGCGCGCACGAGGAGCACGAGCGGGACGCGGTGCATTCGACGGGGCGGGGCGGCGCGGGGAATATGAGCCGCGAGCGGGGGAGAGGCGGCGCGCAGCTGCCGTCGCCGTCGCCGTCGCGTGCGGGCCACGAACACCAACAGGTGCACTCGAGCGGGCGCGGGGGGGCGGGGAATATCGTCCCGGGCCCTGCGCCGGCGTACGAGCGCGGGCGGACGGGTGCTGTCGATGGAGTGTGCGTGCTGCCCTATCCTATTTCATTACCTCCCACATCCCCAAATCTCCACTAATCTCCTCCTCCCAACCACAGACACTCAACCGGCCGCGGCGGCCTCGCAAACCTCACCGCCTCCCCCGCCCCGCCGCCCGAACACGTCGTGCACCACCTCCACCCCGGGGAGTACGAGTCCTCCGGCCGCGGCGGCGCGGGCAACATCTCGCGCTCGCGGGAGCGAGGGGACGAGAACCGGAGCGCGAGCAAGGAGCGGGGCGGGATTGCGGGGCTGTGGGACCGCATGCACGGGCATCCGCATGGGCACGCGCCGGAGACGATTCCTGAGGGGGAGGGTGCGCGTGCGCAGCCAGCAGCCGCGGAGGGTGCGCATGCGAAGCCTGCGGCCGTGGAGAGTGGTCCTGCGCCGCTGGGAGAGGCGGTTGTGGGCGGTGGGGGCCACGGGGCTCTCTAGCGGCTAGGTTCGAGCTCGCGCAACGAAACGATTCTCAACTTTCATTCTTCCTCTATGTATTCACTTCCCCCTCTCGTTCTCTCGTTCTCCTTTCTCTTTTACCTCTTTCTTTTCCTGTTGCTGCTACTTATTTCCATCTACTCACTTACTCGGATTCTCTCTAGCCCAAGTATCCATCCCTCGTTGTGCTTGGGTCAGGTCGTATAGAATGTACTAATAATGCACGAGAATTGTACTTTATTGTATTGAATGGATTCTGCTTTGTATATCGATGAGAAACGCGTACGCCGCCGCCCACTGTCAATCTCGTCACCCGCCGCTGCCATTCAAGACTCCGAGTCTTTGACTTGAAAGAGGGATCCGGGAAGCGCCTACGGCGCTACTTATGCCCCATATGCATCGACACCATCAATGGTCCCACCCGCGCGCGCATATGTACGTCGGCGGCGTTGGTGGTGGTAAATTCACGAAATAATTCGGACATACATACAAGATGGCGTGTCGAATGTGAACTATCTATCCGGTGAATCAAAAAGACTTTAACGCAGCTCAGACGCGAGTGCCGGGAGTCGAACCCGGTCGTGCTGTGAACGTCTTTAACCACGCGGGTACTTAGGACAGCACTGTACCGTTACACAACACCCGCTTGTATGTGCGTAGGAGACTAGGAGTCGCCCAGGCTCCGGGGCTGAATCACAAATAATTCGACCGGATCAACAAGAGAACGGGGCGGAACAAGACTGTACAGCGACTGAGTAGTGGTGGGAAAGTTCGGTTCGGTTCAGGTTCGGGGCACTTTTCTCTGAACCCCGAACCTGAACTTCGGTTCAGGTTCAGACATTTGCTGAACCTTGAACCTGAACCCAGGTTCAGGTTCGGTTCAGGTTCGAACTCGGTTCGAACCTACAATTTTTTCCCACAGAATAATATCGAAATTTGAGGCAACCAAAGCTTAATTGGGTACTTGGTGAGTGTCAGCCATATCATTGGTCCTTACCTAGAGGTAATCTGTACTGTCTGAAGCTTTGAAAGTACAATTCTCATATATTTGGACAAAATATTGAACTTTGATTTCAATTAGAACAGTAATATATTTCACTGGAAACACATCTGTAGCCTACAGGACCCTCTAAAGTATTGTATTGTACAATTGGTGAGGGATTACACATCAAATGGGATGAAAATACACCCTGAAATAACGAAAATCAGTCAAAAAAATGCCCAATCGGTTCGGGGTTCGGTTCAGGTTCAAAAAAATATTTTTTGGCCTGAACCTGAACCTGAACTTCGGTTCAGGTTCGGGCATTGGCCGAACCTTGAACCTGAACTTCGTGTTCAGTTCGGTTCGGTTCGAGTTCGAACCAAAATCTGAACCGAACTTTCCCACCACTACGACTGAGTGCAACGAAAATATGTGCCAGTAGCGCATTCAAATCTCTGCTTCTCTTTCTCCAGTCAGGTCGATGTTAATATTTCCCGGCAAAATGTGACGATAAACGTCCCCATGCGGGCGCCGGGAGTCGAACCCAGGTCTGCTGTTGGGAGTTTAGGCACAATTGTAACATGATATACAGCAGTGTACCATTACACCACACCTGCTTGGTTGTCTAGTGCAATCCATAGACTCTCCCGAACACTTTGAACCACTAATGAATTGACGGCATCAAGAGTGGGCCGGAACGGAAACACACTGACATAACACAAGGAAAACACGTTGAAGATGCAACCTGCAAGCCCATTCATATTCAAAGTCCTGTTTGAGACCACCACCATGTTGATATTTCATTTCACAAAAAAAAAAAATGTACTTCTCGCCCAGGATGCAGTGCCAGGAGTCGAACCTGGTTAGCTGTTCACCCTGTCATGGATAGCCCCTACTCAAGACAACCGTGTACCATTACACCACACCTGCTTGAACTTGGGTTGAATATACATTACTCTCCTGAAGTAGAGAATAATTCGACGGGATCTACAACTCATTCTGAACGGGACGGAACAGAACCGCACTCAACGCAACGGAAACAGCGTGCAATGTGCGTGGGAATAGGACCTTTATTATGTACCTTTGTTCTTCTCATTATTATTGCAAACGGGGCGGCGCCGCTGCCATCCGAATCGCAGATTGAAGCGCCCTCGGCGCTAAGTCCCAAATTCACGAGATAATTAGGATATACAAGTTTGCGGGCCAAGATGAGATTGGAGGAACATAAAATGAATACAAAAATATGTCTGGATCCAACCCTACACAGGTGCCGGGATTCGAACCCGGTTCTGCTGTTTCAAACTCTGTTCATATAGCATATTTAGGACAGCGGTGAACCATACACTACACCCACTTGGATGTGTGTTGCAATACGTAGACTATACTGAATTACAAGAGATACTCTCTCACTGCATGGAGTCAGCAGTAAGTTCCATCCTGACTGTAAAAATTGCTGTCCACCTGTGCAAATTTGTTGCAAGTGTTCTTTGGATTTAGTATATATTTTATTTCCCATCCTGCAATAAAATTTATCAATCACAAGTACTCAGCTGATGTAGACTTGAATGCGTAGTCCTGCAGCTGCGCCCACTCAACCAGCGGTCGTTTTGATCGTCCATCAGCACACATTGTGCCACCTCCAGGCCTTTCTTCTGTATTAACTGTGCCTTGTCTGGGTTGGCGTTCACCCACTCGACTTTTTGTACGAGATCCAAGAGGTCCGGCAGAACGGGTATGTAATGTTCGAATGGCTGCAACCAGTTATTGAAATATTCCTTGAATAACGTTGACTTCGTTTGATACGCATTACTCACTAGTCAATGATAAGGGCTATGAGCTTGAATACGACTGACTTTCACCTTGAACACCAGCGACCCCGATCGCAAAAGACTGAGGAACCGCCTGGAGAACATGGTCCCATCGACGTCGACGGCATACTTATATTTATACCGATCTTCACGCGGGTGTCCTGTGCCTGTTATATTGTACTCGGCAATGACAGTGTCACGGTCACAGCCTTCCGCGCACAGAGTTTCCAGGACCTGTGAATATCGGTTGTGAGGTATGATACCAATTTCAGCCTCCGCCGGCATTTTGTCCGGATTGGCCGTCCCTAGGGATGTCAATTTTTTGTCCGGATGGTACTCAGACATTCAAAATTTGCCAAATTTCTGTCCGGATTGGACTCAAACCTCAAAAAAAACCGCAAAAAACCATTAAATTGCGCAAAAAAATCTACACGACCATCCTCTTCGATATCCATCAGAAACGAGATTTTTCCAGTCCTGTACATGATTCCCTGCTCTGCCACCACCTTTAGATTAATCGAAAGAATAACACAGCCCCGCACCTTTGTGCTCCATGATAATTCGGATCCGCACTGCATAATTGTACAAATGTGGGAACGTCCAGTGGCTCGAAGGTGGCAAGGCCAAAGCTTGACCCATTGTCTTGACTTTTGTGGCCACAGTGGTGTCCGGACTGGTATTCGACCTGATCAGTGCTCACCTGCGTTGTCCGGACTATCAGATCCGACCTGCGCGCGTCGGGGCCTCATTTTGTCCGGATTGGGCTCAAAGGTTCGGGTCAAAAACTCAAAATTTTGTCCGGATCCAGTATCATACGTCCCAACCGATATTCACAGGTCCTGAGTTTCCGCGAAGGTGGTGATCGTGACGTCCATGAGATGGGGGTGTTGGCGTCTGATGTCCACGAGTTTGAAGTGCGCAAAGTGGTGGTAGTTGTCGCTGATAATCATGCCGCCGTTGGACATCCCGTGCCAATCTCCACCCACGCATCAGCGACAGTTTGCTCAAAAATACTGACTTACAAAGTTGCAGCTTTTTTTGATCCAATGGGACGTTGTCCAGATATCCGAATTTCGAGGCTACACGAGGAAGGAGGGGTGTGAAAAGAGTAGGGGAGGGAGGTGGAGGGAGCAGGAGAAGGTGGACGCTGAGGCGAAGAGGAGGAGAGAAGGGAGAGGGAGAGGGGGAGCGAGCGAGTGAAAGGCGGGAGGGAGAGGGGAGGGAGGGAGAGAGAGAGGAGAGAGGAGGGAGCGTGAATGGGAGACGGAGGAACGTGCTGCCCCTGCGCGGTGGTGGGCGCACAGACCCCGGCGAAGCCGCAGAAGACGTGTTCATACCCCCGCCCCCTCGTCCCCGCTCCGTCACACCACACACCACCAGGGGAAGGAAGAGAAGACGAGGATCGGGTGTGCACCCAAGCCCCGCGTTGGGGCAGCACTTTCTCTCTTTCTCACTCTCTCCCTTGCCCTCCTCCCTTGCCCTCTTGCTCGCTCGCTTTCTTGCGCTCCCTCCCGTTCCCCGTCTTCTCCCGCTTCCTCCCTCCCGCCCCGACCTGGAGCGGATTCGTTCATATCCCCCGCTCCTCCCCGCCTCCCCACTCCATCACACCACGAAGAGCTGCAGCCGCTCCAGTCTCCTCCCTTCCCCTGCCTTCGAAAATCCCACTCATAGCAGAACCCTCGACGCACGCTCGTCCCCGAGTTCCCAGTCACACACCACACCACACCACGAGCTCCAGCCTCTGCAGTCTCCTCCCCTGCCTTTGAAAGCCCCATTCATAGCAAAATAACTCGACAAACCTAGACGAAGGATGGTACACCTCCATCGGCCAGTAGAATGCGTACGAGCACGCCACGACAAAGACGAGACGGGGAAGAGGCCTGTAGGTGGGGCTAGTTGGGTTTGGCGTGAAGTCAGGGAAGGTGAGACGAGACGAGAAGGAAAATGACTCACAGATACTACGATCCCGAATGCCCATGCTCACTCCCTTCCTTCTCCTCCCACCTATTCCGCTCGGCCCACCTGCCCCACTGGCACTGCCCCCGCTGGCATCGAGCGCCGCGACGCAATAGAGAGGGATCGGAGGGCTGCCGTACTGTAAGAAAGAAGGAAGGAAGTCAGCGGTTGGTAAGGAAGGATAGAGTGAAACGATAACGAGAAGGAGGACAATGACAAAAGAAGCCGGCGAAATGCAAAATTGAGAACAAAATACCCCAGAAAGTAGCGCGACTGCCACCCTCCTCACGACGCCCGTCCCCGCGTTTGTTGCCCCACTTCACTGGCTGCAACACACGCGGGACGCACACGGCGCTGAAGCTTACGACACTGTACGCCTACCCAGGGGCGTAGACAGAGGCGTGGGCGTGCGAGCCATGGGTAGGCGTGTGGATGTGTGGACGTTGCGAGCAGAGTAGGGAGAGAAGAAAGTGAATCCGCTAGGCGGCGCCGAGCCGAGGACGAGACGCAGGTGGACATAGCGCGGAAAGAGAAACAGAAACGAATAGCAATAAGTATCAGACAAGCCCAGTAGTCAAGCCCAACCCACCCGCAACGAAGCCAAAAAATATAAATGGAATAATATATCATATGAGGCGCAGCAAAAATCGCCCACAACCAGGAACGACTGCCAATCGAGATGATACGGATTCGGGTAAGATACCAAGGGCGGAAGGGGCTTCGGCTTCGAGCCGAGAGGTCTCAGGGAAAGGACGAAGCCCAGACCTAAGGAAGAGGGAGAGCCAGGGAGAGGACAGAAGTGCGGGACGCAAGGCCGCCGTTTTTTCCAATTGGGCAGGCCAAGATCCGGGGGATGAGACAAAATAGATAAAAGAAAATAGAAAAGAATGGCGCAAAACACGGGGGTGCGAGGGCAATGAAAGCGAAAGCTGAACACCCAGTACCACACAAAAGAAAAGATGAACGAGGCTCACTTGAACGCATTCGCGGCGCTCTCGCACTCGGGGTCTATCTCGACGCGAATTTGACTGACTTGTTTATGGCCTCCGCGCCGCCTTGATATTCGACGCCGAACTACAGGATGTCGACGCCGAACTACAGGATGTCGCCGTCTTTATTGTGAGGACGACTGTAAAGTGTGAGCGAGAGAAAAAATAGGACAGAGAGCGAAACCACCCACATCTGTGTTCGCTGAACTGAGCCCAACATGGCTACTACTATTCGTATTGCCTATCAAAAACCTCGTCCTTCCGCCCTCCTCCTCGATCCACGTGCCCGAATGGCGCCGATGTGAAGGACAGGTTCGCCGGGCTTGAGGTCGCACGACATTGGGTCGAAGGGCAGGGAGCGGCGCGAGCCGAGATGGATGCCACTGCTGTGGACTTCGACAGGCACAGAAGGTGGGATTCGGGCGGCGATCACACGGGCTGTCTGGAGGACCGGCACCGTCTGTACCGGCCCACGGGGGTCGCAGGTACAATATTTCCCGCACCACGTTTCCTGCGCAGCATGTGTCCGAGACTCAGCGCATTGCTCGTCGTCAGCTGTGGTTGGTGGAATTTGTTGCAGCCTGGGAACGTCGATGCGCGACCGCGACGAGTTGCACGGGCGGCCGTGATCAAGACAAGATTCAAGGATCGTGCTGCGCGACTGCGGCGTCGTCCAACGAGGTCATGAAAGTCACGTCACACATCATACCGGCGTTTGCCGTACCGCTCGTTTTTTGCAGTGTTGAATCAGAACTCAGCTGTATGGGAGTAATACTGTTTCATAATTATTGCATGACTTGGATTAGGCCTCTTCGAGGCGGTAGCTGAACCTTTTGGATGGGGAGCGAGATATGGGTTGGATATGGGGCGATCTTGTTCATACATACGTATGCGTATACGCACCTGTTTAGTTCTCCAAACTGAAGCCAGGACCCAGGTAACAACGCCAGATCTTTGATCCCATCAAGGCTGCCGTGGTCCCGCTATCATAACATCAAGTCAAAGCTTGCGTCGAGGTTGGCGGAGTGAAAAATGGGGGGTTTAATATTTTATGGTCTCATCTATGGAACTGGAAAGTATGGAATATGTTTAGACTTTTACATCCAAAATTTGGTACTCCGGCTCGCGTTTGCGACTTAGCTCAATCAAATGAGGTCGTGTCGGACTCAGAATCATT